TTTTTTCGATTGCGATCGCATTATTATCAGATGGTCGAATTACGATCTGTAGAGTTGTGGTCTTGATATGAATCTTTCATGCATCGAGTATTTGAAATGCAAACAACGCATCGTTGGCCATCTTCAGATCAGAAATAGCACAAATAGAAAACTTTTCCTGTGTTCATCTCAACCGAGCTTCCGTCCATAATTTTCTTCAAGTCAAATTCAAAAAAAAAATTGCGGACACCTTCACTAGCGACACCTTTTGGTCATTTCAGCGCTTTCATCGACCACTTTTATCTGCTATAAAATTGCGCGTTCTGCATTTTTGTTTAATAACAACACTTAACGATCTCAGAACGTCAGTGACAGACGGACTGGTGTGAACGACGAATCAAAATATGTCTTTTCTGCTGTTGCATTTGTTAGTTAATTTACATAATTTTTCTGTATATTACAGATTAAGGACGTGATGAAAGTGCAATTTGTTCTGATTTTGATTTCTGAGCCGATTGATGCGTTGCCAATGTCTTGAGTGAAAATAAACATGAAAAATAAATAAATTTCACAATAAGAAGAAGTAGAAAATTCGGAGAATTTCAAGCTCTTCAAAATGTCATTGCTGATAATTGACTTGATTATTTCACATCAATTGAGTACACATCATAATGGACTTACTTAGCATTTCCTCAGAAGAACGATTCTTTCTATTCTATGATAAATATTCTCACAAAGTTTTTCAAGTTTTTTGTTTTATTTTTTCCATCACAGATATAGTCTAGTGTGAGCGCATTCCGAAGAAAATTATTCAAGTGAATTTTATGACCGTGCTGTTTCGTATCCCCTAATCTGTGCCTTTGAACGCATAAAGTATATATTATTTGGTGTGTTTAGCACTTGAATAAGAAAAAGAATCAATTTTCGGTTGTCAAAGGTTATCATTGGTTTGAACTTTTGTGTTTATTTTGCAGCGGTTGATTAAGGATAGAGCAGAAGTCGAAACAGGCGAACAAAACCAGTAGACAGAAGAGAAAATTCAAAATCAGAGATAATCACGATGAGCAAGCGTGAGAATGATGGAGAAATTACCGAGAAATCAAAGCAACAGAAATTGAACGACGTCAATCCACGTGGAACTGCTGCTGCTGCTGTAGATGGTCAAAACGAAGAACCGGCGCCACCGGCCATTTTCAAACTGAATGCCATTTGCTGTGACGATCTATTCGAGTGGCTATCACTCAAAGATCTGCATTCACTCGGCCAAACATGCAAACGAATGCAACGACTCACCGGTGTCTATTTCCAGGAGAATTACAAAGAGACGAGACTATTTTGCGAAAATCGCAATATTTATCATAATAAAATTATGATGAACGAATTTTTCCCATATGTGCAGAAAATTGTAGTTGAAAGCAATTGCCTGTCGGATTTTAAGAGTATCAACGATGGTGATTCAATTCGTGATATTTCGCTTGATTGGTTCACAATGACTGAAAGCATGATAGGATGCATCAAAGAAAAATTGAACCAAATCGAAGTACTTCATTTGCGGTATCTTGATATGGAAATTCATTTATACGAAGATTTCTTACAGTTTTGTCCAAATTTAAAGGGTCTTTGCGTTTACTACAGCCACTCAAAAGATAATGATGATGAATGGATGAATCGAAAATATCCAAAACTTCAGCATTTCAGACTTCAAAAGCGGGATGATCTTATTAGCCACAATCTACGACATTTTTTCCAGCAAAATGACCAGCTTCAAAGTTTCGGGACCAACGACCGTTTTCTTTTGACAAACAGCGACACATTCATCAATTCCAACCTGAAATTGGATGTTCTGAATATTCGATATTCTGTTGGTAACTTGGAACATGTTTGTGATTTATTAAATAACCTTCACGAAATTGGTTTCTATAAGCGATTGGAATTT